TTTTATTACACAATAAAAAGATCTCCTGTCCCCAGTGGAGCCTGCAATCTAAGTTTCACACAAGATGCAACAAGTGAATTTAAACAAAGTTAGGTCAATGAATGGCTGAAAATACATACCATACGAAGTGGCTATACATGACATTCTGAAGTAATTAAATTAATCTTCCACTCTAACACCTGTGTTATTTGCAGGATCTTCAGCAGTGATATTTGTCATAAGGACAAGTGGAGCACTGCTAAATAATTTTATTCCCTTCATTTGGGTTGTATCTTTTTAAAACCCGCAGACACACCTTCAGTAGCATGTTAGGATCAAGAAAATCACAACAGCCGTTCTCAAGAATACCTGAATGAAGGACGCCTGGTAGACAACCAAAACAAGCTCCACAATAGGGGATTTGAATATGTAAAAGACCACCTCCTTCCTCACTGCAGTAATTGTGAGGAGGAACACTTGCATCGAGGAAGGGGCCAGCCGAGACGTCCCACTACATACAAAGAGGCAGCTGGTGAGGTACTATTCAGTTACACTATCTTTTTCTGTGACCATCTGAACTTTCTAAGGGTACGCTGCAAAATTTATCGATAACTCATAGCCCTAGAAAACAAGCAAATCCACGCTTTCTGCTCTTGGGGTTAGTATTAGTTGCTGTGGTCACCTCACAATTCTTACAAAATTCTAAATAGCTCTGACTATTGCAAGTGTTGAATAGCATCTGAAAAACAAATATCAATTTTTTATTTTCTTCATTGCTCATAATTTTGTTACATTAGATCTGTCTCTCACACAATCAGTAACAAAGAAAACTACTGTGGTGCTCCTGAAATCATTTGCCAGCTGCCGAACAAAGGCTGTCAGGTAATTAAGTGTTTAGATTTCATTCGGTCTCAGGTTAAGATTGACTCAACTCGGTGGAGCTCAGGATAATCATTCACCATTCTGCTCCTAATACTTATCTGCAGTAACAGGGAGAAATCTACAGTTAAAGTCCCTTGGAGAATAACTAGAGACGTAATAATAATTAAGGAAATAATAAGTAGTATGCCTTCAATATTTTTATGTTCAAAACCTCAAATCTTCATTACTATAGGTCAAAACTAGAAAGAAGCATGATGAAGCATTGAGTAGGTCATACTTGCATATTTTTTTTAATTTTTTTTTTTTTTTAAAAGTTCATAACCAACTCTCTGATACGTAATAGGGAGGAGCTTGTGCTTCTTGTGCTTTCACTGCCCTGTTTGTGCACTGATGAAGATGGGGCAGAGGAATAATTCAGGGATGTGCGCTGAGCTGAGGTCCTCAGAAAACTTGCAGGTTTGGGAACAGTCCCAGCTTGGGAGACACAAGCAGAAAGAATGAGTCAGGGAAGATGATGAGGGGCTTGGATGGGTCTCCTGGATAGGATTTCAAGAGGGCAGGAACAAGTGAAAAATTAGAAGCAGTTTCTTTAAGGTATTTTTTACATACTATTTCACTAACAAAAATCCATTCAGTATTATGGAACTACAGGGTTGATTCTTGATTGATAGGAACAAGAGAAACATGCTTTTTTTTGTTTCTTCTTTCACGGCTAAGTTGACTATTGCATTTAGAAAGACATCTCACCTTTGAAAGTCCTCAAGATATTTTTGCTAAGAATTTTCAAAAGTTGGACTTCAGCTGATACTAAACTATTAAGTCTGTAAAAACATCAATAATATAGTCCAGGTCTTAAATAATAGGTCAAGTGACAAGACGTATCCAAAAATTTAAGATTTATCCAAACAGTCATTAAACACAAGTTTATGACAGTTACGTGAGAGTTTAAAGGTTTAAAGTCATGAGAAGTTTGTCTTCTCCTTTCATTCAATAGTTCCTGTCCCCATCAGATTCTTGTAAGATTTCATTTTAACTTGAACCTTCAAACTTCACTGTTAAAATTTGGACCCACTGACAGTTAGGCCAGAATTTATGATCTACAAACTCATTTAACCAAACCTCCAAGCAACTGCAGCTGAAGATTTACCTCTGACAGTTTTCAGTGATACATGCAGGAACCTTGTGAAGCAAGTAACCAGTTTTTCTGAATTTGAAATAAAACAAACTAGAGCAAAAGAATTTACAGATGCAAATAAAAGCCATAAACCAAGATATTTTTCTTACAGATTTTATGTACCACCTCATATCTTTCAGTTTTACATGTGAACTAGTCTCTGCAACAAAGTTTCAAACATTTGAGATTGTTCTTTGCATTATTAATTTTTTTTTTTTTAAAAGAAAAATTAACACAGTAAATCAGTCTGGATGCATGGCCTGTCACTGTATACTACCTACCAATGAATTTTGCTTCAGTAAATCTCATTATTCTCAAACTTGCCCTCTATGATAGCATCACCACTAAGAATGATCTACAGACAAGTCAATGACAGCTGAACAACAGACTTGATGTTACCCACTGGATCATAGTTCCATTAAGAAACCCTCTTTATCTTTGTCAAATGCATGAGCCTCACTTAAACAACTTCATACTTAAAGTGATCTGTTTTCAATCACTGCCTCAGAATTGTCATATTGTGTTAATAGTCTTAGGGTAAAACGAAACCAAAGGTGGTAAACAACACAATTGCTATTGGAAGTACGTAACTGTTCCGAAAACGAAAGCAAAACTGCCATCTCTTCAAAGAAATCAGTTAAGTAACAAATGAGCAACTCAGAATATGACATTCAGAGATTCCAGTTTGTGGCACATTTTTCCACAAATTAGTTGAACTGTAACCTACTTGGCCAACAGTTTCTTCAGGCAGGGATTTTAATTTTTCATGAACACATTGCTCTAATAAAGTACTTGGCATTAGTTATGGCTTTTGAATTAAAATGCATTCATGACATTAAATTTTAAAATCATTAAGCCATTAATTTTGACCAGCTTTTTTTTTTTCTGTATAGTGTTTGCAAGAATTAGCAACTAAGTGCATATTTCACCAGCAAAGGAACAAAGGCTGTACTAATAAAACTTACTTTTGCAGGTCCCTGCAGAGAATGGTAATATTTCATACATTGACTGCATATCAAATGAAAGCCAAAACCAAATTTGCCGTTCTGATAAAGGCTTATCTGTCAAATATCACATAATAGTTCAACTTATGACCAAGGGCAACTTAACACACAATCTGCTATCTACATTTTCTTCTGTATTCAGAAATAAGAAGGTTTACAGCATTGCAGAACAGTTCTATGAAATGTCTAGCTCAGGTGCTGCCTTTAGTACCTATTTGTGAAACTATCTTGCTATAGAAATTACAGGTAATAACTAAATAGCTGAGCCTGCTCAACTGAGGATGCTGATCTGCAATTTCTTCAGGTATGCAAGTCCCTGTGGTTGCCCTACTTTACCTCACGAAAAATTCCCCCTTTGTCTGCTTTGTTCAGGGTAGCATTCAGAAAGCTTAAATAGTATAAATCATAGGTATTTTAGTTTTTAATATAAAATCATTACTTCAGATACACCCACTGGCCCCTACAACCTTGCTACTAAAAGAAATAATCACCTGCTGATAGTACGGGAGCCCAATAGCAGACTTCAAACCAGTTTTCATCGTTTTATCTTGTTTCATCTCGTTCATCTTGTACTTATGAAACAGTGTAGAGTTACGACACTTAAGATGTTTAATAGAAACAGCCAATTTGATATTTGATTCCCATGCTAGTATCATTCTACTGTTCAATAAACTACAGTCAGTGAACTAGCTCAGTTTTAGTTATACATTTTAATTGAGTACAATTTACACACTTTATACACCTCTAAGCAGTGTGTCAAATTTGCTCAACAATAAGAATGCAGCTCACTAAAACAGATGTCTGATCCTCCAGCTTCCCCAGCTCTTAGTATCGGTTTTCTTTATTACTCTACATTAACTTGTAGATAAATTAAGCATAACATAAGTGTCTAAAATTCCAGCTGTGTTGCAAAATGCTGCTGCAAGGCTAAATTTTTAAGTCCAAGTAGTTTCATAATCTATGTGCAGTTATTTATGAAGGCAGCAGGAATGCTGTTCTGACAACCTAATTAAACTTCCAATAATGTCAGCAGGAATCTGATTGCAAAATGGCTCATTTTATAAACATCACTACTTTTATGACTGACAAAAATGTGCACGATCAGGTGCCAACTCCTTCACAAATACATATTTTACAACTTGTGTTGTAAATTGCTTGCAAGTACAAAATTCTAAGATGTTAAAGGTCTATGCTTAATCCATAAAAAATGGCACAGTTCATACAAAGATTTCATGGATTTTGCTCTTCTGCCAGTTTCAGATTCATGTAACTTCACTAGTTTCGGGCGACTTACTCCCAATATATACATAAATTTACATCTCAGTTAAGCCATCCCCTGTATGCAATATTGGACCTGGGATTACACATGCATTTAAAACACAAGTGAAATACAGGACAGAAAAAAGATAATTGGACCTCGCCTATTTTAAGACCACTACATAGTCTGTGTATCGCAGTGCACATGAAGCACACATTTCTTCAGAATTTGCTTTATAAGTTTGCTGCCCATTACAGAAGTCTCTTTAAAACTGCATGGGCCATGAAGTACTGATTAAGTCTGAAAAAAATGACATTTCTAATTGGAAACGTTTGAGAGTTACAAAAACCATACATGATATCCCTCTATTTAAAGCAGTAACGAACCCTAAATTGAACCACTTCCTCATGGTAGCGATTGCTGTGTTGATAGCCATTACAGCTTTACTAATTATAGTACAGGTTAAAACAAAGTATTGAATGTCTTAGCTCACTCATGTATGACATGGATACATTTATATAAGCTTAAGTATTGGGAAAAAACAGTCATTTGGTACTGACCAACTGCCCATACAAATAGGAGAACTTCTATTAGTTCTGTATTGCCTGCTCTTCTCAGTCACTTCGCAGAATCAATTCAAAAATCCAGTCTCAACTTCTTCTAATCTTGGAGTCACTGGGGTTTTTTGTTTGGTGGTTTGGGGTTTTTTTACATTTCCATTAAGATCATTTAAAAATAGTAGTCTCGATATAGCAGGGATGGAAACATTTAATTAAAAGTCAGACCTCCCAGTCCTCATAAATTTAAGACATAGTTTTAAAAACCTCTTAAGGAGATGTGCCTTCTAGTTTTATTAAAAATGAAGGTAACATCAAATAAAAAGCAGAACTAAAGAAGAATAGGTAGAACATTTTACTTTCATCAAACTTTAAATGTAAAGTATATTAAAAAAACATGGTTTGGAATTTCAAGAACAGGAATATAAACATGTATCTTCTATCCCAGAAAAAAATTCATGCAGGTGTTACAGTATTTGATCATTCTCTACATCCACTGGTATGCAACATCAACTTAATGTTATTAAATAGATACAGAGATACCATAAATCCATACAAATACCAGGGTCTTCTGGCCTCAGTTATACTTGTACTGTAGATCAAGCAAATCTGTTCTTTGGTAACTGGAGTAGACTCATTTTCCATTCCAATGCAGGACTGTTAGGAGGCCATATTAGCCGCTCATTTCAGAAAATTACAACTCCTGTAGACACAGTCTGGGCTACTTTTGTCACAAGAAAATAATATTAGAGGTGGTATTAGAGGCGTAAATGCAAAGAAGTTAAAATTATTCATTCCTTGTGGTGGCTGTTTCAGGAAAAAAAAAATCCAAACTCTCTTTCTCTATTCATTATTTAATCTAGGTAACATTTAGACTCATATGTAAAGGTACTTTGATAGATGGGAATGTACACATGCACACTTTCAGTTTAAATAGAAAGACCTGTGTGAAGAATGGCAATTTAAAGTTAACATGACTTGAAGGTATTCCTATAATAAAGTTTAAAGATTTAGTAAACCGGGACATTACAAATCCAAAAAAGTGTTTCTAGATTTTTCATCTTCCCTTTTTCAACAAAGACTGACAGAATATACATATACAGGTTGACATTTTGATTTATCCAAAACAATTTCCACTTTGCTCAGCTTGCAAGTCTATTGACTAAAATGTAATATCATTCACAACAAAATATTTTCAGTAAGTGAATCAATAAGCAAAGAAAACCAAAACTAAGCTCAGAAGCTAAGTGGTTTAGAAAGCCTGGTAACATCTATGTGTGCATAAGTGTGTCTATAATTTTTTTTTTATACATTATATATATAGACACATGCACACATATATATACACACACACGTGCGCACATGCGCACACGCACACACACACACATTTGTAACCTGCAGTGCAGATCAATCTATTTTCTAATAAGGAACAAAACACATTATTTAAAAATGTAGCTAATTTAACAAAACAGAGAAGAAACTGCTGCTATCAAAATATACAATTTGGATTGCAGACTAGAAGGCTAACAACATTAAAAAAATAGTTTTAAGCAAAACCCCTTTGCTTCTGAATAACAACAGGTATCAACCTGCTATAGCATGAAGCATCCAAACAAGATTTTATAAAAAGTTTAAACTGTGACTCTTCTTCATTTGTAAAGTTCTTGACGTATCATATAGTGCGAGCTCTGGTCTCCAAACTGGAGCCCCTTTCATTTTTCTCAATCCATACTTCAGGAAATAAATGGCAGCTGAAGGATTCAGAATCTCAAGTGAGATTTGTGCTTTACCATATACCTGAAAAAAAAACCCAGAAAACAACGTTACTACTCTTTTGGTATTTATAGAAATTTTTCTCTCAGGAATAATATGCACAAGCTTTGTTAAAACAAAATTCTTAGAGAATTAGCAAGCTGCCAAGGAGATGCAATTTCTTATATGCCATACAGCTCTGTATTATGCACAATATTTGTCCCACTAAAAAACAGTCAGCTAAAACCTTTGCTTCAAAGAAAATTCACGTTTATCCAAGGCATCACACGACTTCTAACATGGGAAGACTGTTGTTAAAGATAACTCTAGTTCATTCTGGGAATTCAGAAATATAGTTTGGCTGAGACTTTTAAATAAGAAGCTATAGAAAGTTTGATGCTTGGAATTATTTTGACAACTCCCATAGGATTTTTCTTTTTGAAGTTCACTCAATCATTCAAGCAGTTTGCTGTGCAATCAACATGAAAAGATTAAACATTCATGAAATGCATGGGCTTCTCCCTTCCCTCAATATTTCTTCAACTGCTTCATGATAAGAAAGTTTCTTCTCTACAACATGAAAAAGGTATTGCAATGAACTTCCCATTCAGAGAGGGTTCTGAACCACAGAGAAGCAGAGTCAGAAGCAATGCTGCTCTTCACAGAGCTGCTGGTGCTTCTCCATCCCTCACGTCTCACAAAAGGCAGGGCTAAGTACTTGGAAGGCCCCTAAAATACAGAAGAATCACTAGTCCAAAACTCATTATGTGCCGTATCTTTTTTTGACTTCCCTCCTCTTCTACCCAGTGCTGTGGACTCAAGGGCATCAGGATAAGATAATGCTTTGTGGCTCTTTTTCTTAAGGTAGTTTCTCACCTTTTCTAGATTGTCATCTAGTGAGGTGGAGAGAGAAAGTACGAGAGCTCGTAAGCTCAGAACTGCAGTCCAAGGGCAGGGCTGGGGTAACAAAGGAAAACTCTACACTACCTAGCTTGTTCTCCATTCCTTTCCTTCTGCCTAAAGGGAAGTGGGAAATCATGGTATTAATTGATGATTAATGGTAACTACCCTTCCTTTAAATCCATGCATATTACACTTTGGAGATTATTATTTATAGTTTATAATAAAATATAGTGGTATATCTTTAACTGTATCATCAGGGAAAGTCTAAACAAGCAGTATTGTCAAGCTAAAACATTGTTCAGATGTCTAAGTTGTTGCCATAACTTTTCATTCCCACCAAACATCATAAAAGCATGAGCATAAAGGGTTTTCAAGAGGAAAACGTACCTGTCCAAAGTTTCCCAGAAGCGTAGAAATACTGGCCTGTCCAAGTGTCTTTTGTGGTAGCTTAGTTCTAACACTGTTACATCCCATTTCTGTACATTTGGATCCAGACGTACTTCATCGTATTTGAGATGAAAAGCTTTAACTACAGGAAACAGGAAAACAGTTAGTGTACAAACACTGTGTTTAGTTATTGGTCAAAGAGAATTCCCATCCCTCTTTTTTCAGAATAGAGCCTGAGAACAAAATTAATAAGCCCATCTCTCAAGAAAGTAAACTAGTTAATAAAGGGCACTGAGCTAAATATAGTGGTCGGTGGCCACTATCAGGCTCTCATGCTATTACAGGTCTAAGTGAAAAGGTAGCCCCTATTTTTAGATGCATAGATTCCAGGAGAACAGCAGAAACTCATTGCCAATTCAAGCACATTTTCTTTGGGAAACAAAGATGTTCTTTCTGAAAATCTTTGAACTGCCTAAGAATTAAAAAAAAAGCATTTCTGAGACCATTGAGAAGGAAGCCTGGCTATTTCCTGAAAGTCTGTGTAGAAGACTGATAGCAGAATGCCAGTGTAACTCCCAAAAGCTACATGAAGCATTCTGAGAAATTTAGTAACTGCCAATTTCCCCTGATCTAGTACTCAGTTAAAAATGGTAAAATATTAACAGTTATTTTGCTCTTGGGAAGTATTGTCACATGTGAATTATGTAAAGCCTAAGCATTAACACAGTGAGTATTAAAATCTTCTTGAGATTCTTCTTGATTTCCTTAGCCAAATCATAGTTTTGACATAATCCAGCGCAAAGTATTTAAGTCTTGTACAATTCCTATCTGGTAACCAATCTGATGCATTTTCTATTCTGGATATTATTGGAGAAGTAAAGCAGAAGCATTTGACCAGGCTTGTGGAAACTAGTTATTTTTAATGCCATGGTCATATCTTTTCCGGTACCACCCTCTTCATTTTTTCTTCCACAAAATCCACCTACAAATTTAGCCAAATGGCCA